GTTTTTATGATAATTTCTCCGCGAGTTTGACAGTCACTACTGGCGACACAAGTTCAAGAGGCGCCGAGCAAAGTTCACCTGTTCAATAAAAGGTGGATCACATTCCTGTGTAAACGTGACGACGCCCAGATTATGAACGCTGACCAATCAGGCTGTGCTTGCTGGCCGTATAACTCCGTAACAAAAAAATATGCACCCGTTTTTACCTGACTAGAAGCGTTCGAACCCAAGCAGGTCACCCAGCCTGGTGGATTGGTCACCTAGGCCGATGGATTGAAACACAGTTTGAAATGTAGGTATGATAGAGCCCAGTAGGCTCAGGAATCTGTACACCAGTTGAGAGGCGGGACCAAAGAGCCAGAGCTCAACCCCGCGCAAGCACAACTAGATGAGTACACACTCAGACTCATCTGGGTGCCAGCACTACTGGCACCTGAGTGCCAGTAGTCACATACAGTGTATGGGTCGTTAAATATCACTCCTACAGGTGAGTATCGGGTATTGAGCCCCGGTAAGCTGTCTGAAGTCATCACTTGTCGTACCTCCTAGTAACGGTGATCAACTATAAGGTCTTCCAGTCAAGCACAGTCACACAGTCACTGGGGGCCGCAGACACCGTACTGGTTCAGTGTTGCCAGTGACGCAGACATACACCTCAAAGGGACACAGAAAATAGAACTCTGAAACGCGTACAAATTGAAGCAGTTTGAGGTTCAGAAGAGCCTCCGGATGTAGTGGCTTAGGCTGCAATGTTGTCGATGTTTCGATCTATTTAACGAGCACTGTAATAGACGTGAGATAGCTTGGCTGTTTCTAGCGTAGGCTAGACATATATATATGTATGAGTCTGGGGGGGGGGATAGTAATTAGGCCCTGCCTCGTAAGGGCTCAATAATTCTAATACAATTTCTTGCTCTTATTTTCATTATTTGTTTGTCATTATATGCGTGTCTGCTTTAGTGAACAATGAACGTTCAGTCCATTGTTCAATCATAAGCTTTAATTAACCTAACCTGTTCTCCTAGAACACATTCATAACTTGAATGTTATATGAAATGTGAATCATTTTTTTTCCTTCTTGTGGAAATTAGTGGAGTAGAAATATATTTGCAGTTAATACCACTTCTGCCAAATGTATTTGCGAATCATTTTGAAATCAAATAATGTTAGTAACAATAGTAATATTATGAACAAATTCCCTCGTTCAGTGTCGCAGTAGTTCGCTCACGGGGCGAATTGCTTTTTAAAGAGGAAATTTATGAGTGGTTCTAAATTGCTCGGAGTCCGCGGCTCCAGGGGTTGAAAACTGAAATTGAATGGTGACTTGAGATCGCTGAAGGGACACAAAGGTGTAATGGAAATTGAGTAATAATGTTAAAACTGAATCCTCCAGGGCGCTAGTTGAAAGTAAAGTTGAAATTGCCCCCGCGGGTTTCTGACTTGGAAATTGAAATTGAAAATGACGTCAAACTGCTCAAGGCTCACTATACGTGCTTGGAGCTCTTCAACTTTCTTAGGTTTGGCTCGCTTAGTTCTCGGTGTGTGAGAGAGTGTGAGAGAGAGTGTGGGAGAATGTGAGAGTGTGAGAGTGTGAGAGTGTGAGAGTGTGAGAGTGTGAGAGTGAGAGAGAGAGAGAGAGAGAGAGAGAGAGAGAGAGAGAGAGAGAGAGAGAGAGAGAGAGAGAGAGTAAGAGAAAGAGTGTAAGAGACTGTGTGTGTGTGTGTGTGTGTGTGTGTGTGTGTGTGTGTGTGTGTGTGTGTGTGTGTGTGTGTGTGAGTGTGAGTGTGTGTGTGTGTGTCTGGTGTAGATTTACTCTTTGTGCCTGCAACATTGAGCTCTTAGCTCTTGGACCCCGCCTTTTTAACCGTCGGCTATCTAATGTACTGACTCCAGACTCTTATGTTCAATTTCAAGGATTTGTTCAATTAGGATGAAATTAGACCGGTCTAAAATATCAGCAGCATGTATATCAGCAGATATATATACCTGCGGGCCGCTCCCAGCAACAGCCTGTTGGAACAACAAGCTGTCACAAGCCAAGCCTGGTCCCGGGCCGGGCTTGACGAGTAGAAGAACTCCCAGAACCCCCATCAAGGTACAATCCAGGTACACACGGTAGATGGTAGCCAGAGACCAAAGGCTATATATATAGCTAATGAACAAATCCACAAGGGCCGTGATAAGGGTTCGAACCTAAGTCCGAGAGGATCCGAGACGCGCCTTAATCGACTAGGCCACGACATATATATGTCTATATATGTCTATATAGGCTATATATAGCTATCCCGGGGCTGGCGTGTCTCCGTTGGACGACACGCAAGCCCCAAAATGGAAAGTGAATCTGGTGTCATTATTAAAAATGACTTTTTTTTGGTAATATTAACATCACGGCCTTAAAAACCGCCAAGATACTGCTTGAAGATACTGCTTTTGTTTCGTCTGTTGAAGTCTGGGTTTGTTTCGTTGGAGCAGCGCCTGTTAACAGAGGTCTTGGGCTACACGCGATGGTGTTCTGTATTCAGGTGAGTTCGGTGGAGCCGGAGAGCGCAGAGTGGTGGTGTTGGAGGCCCACGGGAGCAAAGTGGTGGTGTTGGAGGCCCACGGGAGCAAAGTGGTGGTGTTGGGGGCCCACGGGAGCAGAGTGGTGGTGTTGGAGGGC